GATCAGAATAATGATTTGTATACAAAGGATCACGTGTTTTGTCAGTATTCTTTTCAGCTTGCTCATACATCAGAACAGTGGGGACTCGTAGCAAAGACTTTTATTATTAAAAAGCCGACGACGGAAGACAAAGCGTCGTGTACCACACAAATGATGTATTGAAATATCGTACTGGAGATATGGACGACACCGAGAAGACACACTCTTTGTCTTTTAGGGAATTTTTTTTTAACTTTGGGAGCATTTGTGAATGTCTGTCTTTCTTTTTTTGTTCTTGGTGCCTTTATGTGTCACGCCATATTCCCTCGTTGATGCCATCATTCTGAACGGCATTCTTTTGGTTCATCTTGTACATTAAAAACAAATCATTCAAAACGTCTGGTTTACGCACAGAACCCTGTTCCCTGAGGAGGTACCGGTATCTGAAGTCTGTGTAAAATCACACCTATTTATAGGCCGGCTGTGCTCAGGGGAGGTGGCGTTCTGCGTGTGTATGAATGGTGCCTGTAAACCATGTCATCAGCTTCTCTTTGACGCGAAGAAGCAACGTACAAGCATACCCGCGTATGACAAAGCTACGCAATGTCTCGTTCCCTTCTCAGGGAACAGGGTTACATGCGTGTAAAAGGGTTACAGACATTCCCTTTCAAAGGGAACTCAACGTTGTATGAAGTTCACGCTGTGGGAACGAGTATACCCAGTCCGTCAGACTGAGGGTATGGCCTGTCCAAAAAGGTCTGTGAGTGAGGGTCACTGCAAGATCCTCGAGTCTGGGGTGGAACTCATGTCCAAACTGTAATACCAAATGAATGTGTGTGGTATAGACCACCCCGCCACAGCATACACATCCTGAAAGGGTACCCCTTTGGATAAAGCCTTTGAGGAGGCGACCACCTCAGTGGAATGAGCCCTTATGCCCAGGGGTGTAGCGAGGCCGCACGCCTCAAATGCGATAGAGATCGCTTCCACTATCCAATTAGAGATGCACTGCTTTGACACAGCATCATCTCTACTGTCACTGCCAAAGCAGACTGCTCCGACTTACACCACTGGTCAGAGCGGTGGACTTAAGTACAAAGAGGAATCTCCAAGGGAGTGCCGTCCAGCAGGGATATTAACTCTGAGAACCACATTCGAGCTGGCCAATAAGGTGCTACTAGCAGTAGACGTAGACGGTCTTGGCGAACTCTTGCTAAAACTTGTGGGAACAGAGCAATCGGGGGAAAGGCGTACAGATGTGATGCCATGGTGTCCAGCCCTAATGGTGTGGGAGGAGTGAGGGCAAACCACAGCGCGCAGTGTGTTGTCTCCTTGGAGGCGAAAACATCCACTTCCGCTTGGCCGAACCTCCGCCATATGGACTCCACCACTTGTAGATGGAGCCTCCAATCCCCGGGCCTTGACAAGATGTCTGCCACACATTGCACTCACTGAAAAAGCTTTCCCTTTCCCAGAGAAGAATTAGTTGCGTCTGCTTGCACAGAGGGCATGAACGTTGATATATCAAACGTATTGTCCTGTATTGTCTGTCATAACTAACACATAGTGAGCAAGAAAGAATGCTATGCTAGGAATGCTAGGAATATGGCTCATATATCTAGGTGATTTATATGCCACTCTAGATGAGGGTCTGTCCAGAGACCGTGAGTTGGACGGCCGTCTAAGGCCGTGCCCCAGCCCATGAGAGAGGTATCTGTCATTACTGTCTTGCGATAAGGAGATGCACCTAGAGTGTGACCTGAGGCTAGAAACCGGGGACACCTCCAAGTTCTCAGAGCACGTAGGTATCGCCGCATGACACTGATTACTCTCAGGGGTTTCGTCCTGATTTTCTGACTGTTTTCCCACTGTTTTCAGTACCTCGGACAGCGCTAATTTTTATAAAAGTTATATTTGACAGCAAAATGATCAACAACAGTGACAAGGTTCCAGTCACCCAGTTGGAAACATAAAAACACTTTTTCCTGCTCAATGTTGATAGGATTGATCCTAGGTGTGTTTGGGATAGACATGCCCTCATCTCATCGTAGTTGAATCCCATAAAACCCCTAGGAAAGTCGTCCTCTGAATTGAAGAAAGCATTAAGGTTCAACATGAGCCCGAAGCTCCTCATGAGGGTGAGAACAACATCTCGATGTTGAAGTGCCAGCTCCCTGGACCGCACTAACCTGTACTCCAGGTAGTTCAGTACACAGATGCCCACAATGGAGCCAGAGCGGCATCCATGCACTTTGTGACGGTGCGTTGCCTTTAAATGCTAACCTCAGGAACTTCCTGTGACTGGACAATATTTCTATATGGAAATATGCATCTTTTAGATCTATCCCCACAACGATAAGTTTGAGCGTCAAATTCTTGAACGTGGATGTCCGAAGAGTACGCTTCAGAGGACGCAGATCTAAAATCGGCCGTATACTCTCGTCTTTTTTGCGCACCAGGAAATAACGGCTGTAAAAACCTCCCACCCTCAGAGAAAGAAAATGGCATTAGCTGTGTTGCCAAACGGGCTGGAAGGTACAACAGGAGCATCCAGAGACAAATCTGTGGCCCGGCGATGCTCCGCCACCGCTCCGGGCGGCCCAGTTCCCGCCCCACTGTTGAGCTCATTCGATTGGTCAGCTTGGTAGGTCTGCAACACTGCCATTGCGGCTTCGCTGAAGACATGGTTTACAGGCATCGTTTATAGTCACGCGATACGCCATGTCACCTGCCCCCACAAGCAGTCCTACAAATAGGCGTGATTTTACACAGACTTCAGACACCGGTCACGCGCGAAGCCGCTTCCCACAACACGAAGCTCACGCAATGTTGCGTTCCCTTTGAAAGGGAATTGGCACCGTTTGACAAACGTTTAATTTAAGAGTCTCTGTGTGTTTGTCTTATATTTATCTTTTCAGGGAAGGTGCGAACCTTTTTGGAGAGCAACAGCAACATTCTGTGAGTTTCTGCTCACTCACTATTGGAAAATATGTACACTGTGTTGCGGAACAAACATAATTGATTCATTATGCTCGCATAGAGGTGGTGCCAGGTTCCACTGAAATGGTGAATAATTGATCACATTCTGAGGTTGATCAGTGTTAATCTGACTAACATTGTTTGATTTCTCCATGGAAGTCCCTTTCCAGTGCCAGACACAAACACAGTGTCTTACCGAAGCATGTTCTACACGTTATTAACCCCATACTAGAGTCACAACTCATCCACTTAAGAATTTGAGGAATCGAATAAAATGGCAAAAGGGATGTATGAAGAAAGCTTTCCAACATGGTTTTACCGTACGATGTGCAATAATCACTGTCTTTATCAAATGTGTAATTAAATTCATTTGGAATTACCGATTCTGTTCTCCGTCTCCATCGATCCATCAAACCAGCCAACCAACCATCCCAACCTAACCTAGCGCTCATTGGCCCTCTCTGATTTTTAGGCCAAATATACTGTATATCCAGACTTGGGGAGTAACGGTATACATGTAACGGCGTTACGTAATCCGGATACAAAAAACTGGTAACTGTAAACTGTTACAGTTACGTCAAAAACCAAAAAAAAATGGGAATACTTTCGACGTTATATAGACAGGTGCTTGATTATAGTTCCGGTTCTCTATTGAAAGTCACGGCTCACATGAGCAACCTCCTGATAGAAATGAATACGAATTGTTCTCTCAAATGCATTAGTCAGGGTGACCATACGTTCCCAGACATGTCGTCTTTTTCGGACGTTAAAGATTTCTAAATGTGAGAAAATGTCCTGGATTTGGCTTTAGTTTCATTATGATGTGCTTATGGTCTAATACCGCTTGATGCGTGCGCATGTTTGTATTGCGTTAACCCCTCTCTGTAATCCCCACCTTCTCACACACCAATTATAGTCACTTATAAAATGCTTGCAGCAACTATTAGCCAAATTCCTTCCTCTAAACCGTTCGCCTAACGGCTGTTGGTAGAGCCTAAGCTGAAGGGCTGTTGTGTACGGCATCAAATGACAGCCGTCTGGAGTCGAACCAACGCCCATGGTCATTTTTACTTTCATGTTATCACGTTGCTTCGTATTACAGCGGCCATTCAAATGTGTAAATGATGGCCGAAGGCACACTTGTGGCATCTATTTTGTTCATTTCTTTATTTAAAACAAATCCAAACATCGAACGCGTTTCAAGCTCTAAATGAAAGTAGTTTAGATCAGTTGGAATGATTAAAAAACACTGGTCAAAGTCTAAAGAGATATAGTTCACTAGTTCATTTATTTTGATGATCCTAAACATGATACTTCGGGAGCATTTCACTAGAAGAGGAGGAACGTGCCCACTGAAAGATTAGACGGTCAGATGTCAGTGTTTCATTTTCGTCATCGGACCTCTGAATTGTCAACGTATCATGCTCCTTAAGAAAATATGAATTATTTAATACACTACGCAGATGAGTATAGCCTATCATGTAGCCCATACGGAGATGTTCAGGGGGTGGTGGGGTAGATGAAACACCCACACACATACAGCTTGCTCCCCTCGATCCAGTACTGAAAATTCGTTAAGTAAATCCCAAGTTTATAAAAATGACATATTGTTATTATATTTCATGCCTTCTTTTTTTTTTTTAAATATCGATACACAGAATAAAAATGCTCAGCAAAGTCAGGCGGTTACACACCGAATCGTCGGCCATACGTTTATACAGAGACTCAGTAGAGGGTTGCCTCCATGTTTAATACGTAATTAAAGTTGAGGATCATCAGCGTACAGATGGTCGTATATGCCACGCAAAGATCTTTTCACATGGAAGCATGCAAAGGGAAAACAAAACAGGTTCCAAGATGGAGCCCTGAGGAATCCCACACTTTAAATGGTAAATGGCGCACTTATATAGCGCTTTTATCCAAAGCTTTTATCTCATTCACACAGGATGAGTAGCAGAGCTGCCATGCAAGGCACTAGCTTGCCATGAGGAGCAACTTGGGGTTCAGTGTCTTGCCCAAGGATGCTTCGGCATGTGGAGTCACCCGGGCCGGGAATCGAACCACCAACCCTATGATTGGTAGACAATCCACTCTACCACCTGCGCCAGAGCCGGCGGGGTCGGTTGTTCCTTTAATAGAACAAACTCAAATGGTTCTACTCTTAAGATATTATGAGGAGACCCAATGCAAGGCTAATCCCTGAATAGCAACCAGGTTGGTATCACCTCTTAGGCGATCGATCGGAATGTCGTGATCGACCGTATCGAAAGCGGCACTAAGATCAAGCAGCAGAAGAGCAACAGGACATCAGTAACTGTAATCAGATTGCATAGATTTCAACTGTAACGCGTTATCAGAACAAGTAATTAGATTTAATTGCTTTGATAGGATTGGACGTATGTATTCTTAGCGTGTGTGTGTGTGTGTGTGTGTGTGTGTGTGTGTGTGTGTGTGTGCAGTAAAGCTATCCGTGCCTAATGAATAATGAAAGTATTGAAGCCCATCCCCTCTCCTCCCCTTACACTCTCTCTCTTCTCTCTCTCTCTCTCTCTCTCTCACTCACACCCTAAGTTGTAACACGTTTATGTCGAAATATCAGGAGCTTTTGGCTCCCATTATGAACAGGATGAGTGGCATAAACACGGAATGGACAGGCACATCGGTGCAGAAAATCAGTCACAAACTGATAATATTCTGAAAAACTATTTTCTTGCTTTCATCTTTACATCTGCCGTATAAAGCCAGGTTTAATATCTGCTTTCATTCATTTCATATATACATATAATGAAAATACAGACGTAAGCTGTGTGTGTGAGATCTGGAGAGGAGCCAACGTCGTCCTCCTTGAAGACAAAACAGAGTAAAGTCACAAATAATGCATGAATATAGATATGACAGAAGGGTGTCTTAAAGCTGCAGCAAATAATTTGATGGCTACAAGGTCATGTGACCCATTCCCCAGCCAGTAATTATTCAGGAGCTCCACACTACACTGCAAGACCTGTAACAAGCTCCACACTGAGGCCCAGTTCCAGCTGCACCTTTGCACCTGGGGTCAGGCGGCGTCACCCAACACCACCGAAACAGACGAGGAAACACTCTTCATGCTGCTAGATGAATAAAAGATGCCGGCAAGAGTGAAAAAAAGCCCCGAAACTGAAGAAAGGGATGACAGAACAGAGGAGAAGGAGCCAAAGGTGAAAGGAAAGAGTCGGACCTCTGCCAGCCCAGATGCACCAGACAGTGAGAAGAGAAGAAAACGACCCAAGAGCACAGCAGACGATGGAGAGGAGAAGAGTAAGAAAGTGCAGAAAAAGAAGGGAGGAGCAGACGAGAAGGTAAAGAAGAAAAAGAAAGGAGAGGAAGACGTGAAGGAGGATGCAGGGGCAATAGATGGAGAAGAGGATGGTGATGAGCAGAACAACAATGAGCCAGTCAAAAAGGAAAAGCAGAAAAAAGAGAAACCTCCAGCAGTGGAAGATGGTGAGGAGGTGAAAAAAGAGAAAGAGAAAAAGAAGAAGAAGAAGAAGAAGAAAGAGGCAGAAAGCGAGGAGGCGGCAGGGGCCGAAGAAGGAGAAGAGGACGACATGGAAAAGAAGAGCAAAGACGGAAAAAAGAAGAAGAAGTCTGCTGAGGAGGCCGAGGAGGACGAGGAAGTCCAGGAGGAAGAGACAGAAGAGGAAGAGGAGAACAAAAACAAGAAGAAAAAGGATAAAAAGAAGAAGAAGGGTTCAGAGAGTGACGATGAAAAGAAAGGGAAGAAAGGGAAGAAAAAGAACAAGCAGCTAGATTACGCTGAGCTCTACCTGCAGGAGATTAGGAATTATCACTCGGAGGACTCGGATGGGTATGAAGATGAATACTATAAGAAGAAAGGTACTCACGCATTCTTTTTTCTTTCTCGTTTGCAAGCGTACAGGAATGCTGTAAATACACACGATTCCATATAGGATCACGCGGGGGGCATTTTTCTGCTTTAATTCGTCTGAGTGTATATAAAGCAAACGTATAGGAAATGGAAATTGATCTTAGATATTGATATCTTAGTTTTAGCGTCATATTCCCAAGTGGCGGTCAGTTTCTGTAGACTTCTGAAACCTTCCTTCCCCTGGATGACCCCTATCTGATTGGCTGTCATTTTCTCAAGCTCATTTTCATAGGCTAGCGACTAGAGGGCTATCCTGATGAATCACGGATCCCGTAAGCTAACCTTTGATCGGCATCTAATTTTACCGCTGCACCGTTATTAAGATAATAAAGAGAAGAAACTTCAGATAAGATGACTTGTAATGAAGCATCTGAGAAAGCTTTTCCACTAGATTTTGGCACATGGCTTTTGGGACGTGAACGTTTCGCTCCAAGAGCATTAATCAGGCCAGGCGTTGATGTAGAATGAGAAATCTTTGGGCTCAGACGTCATTCCAGTTCATCCCGAAGGTGTTCAATGGGGTTGAGGTCAGCGCTCTGTGCAGGTCACTTGAGTTCCTCCACACCAACCTTGGCAAACTGTCTTCAGCCACCTCATTTTTGGCACACGGGCATCGTCCATGTTGGAACACGTTCGGGCCTTTAGTTCCAGTGGAGGGACATTGTAATGCTACAACATACAGATACATTCTATACAATTGTGTGCTTTTAACTTTGTGGCAATAGTTTTGAGCAGGCCCACGTCGGGGTGTGGGTGTCCACAAATGTTTATCCACAAACCACCTCTACCAGCTCGTGGCCAGGAGCCTGCTCTGATTAGCAAACTCTTATATTTGCCAGTCATGGCAGAGGCATGGTGGCACGAGGAGAAGCTGGCAAGGGACCAGCATTGGATTTGAACAGCCTGCCACCTCTCTATGGGCGGAAACACAATGCCCTAATTGGTCTATTCATGCTTCCGCCTTATGTTCAGACATTTCTCGGAAGAAATTAGTCAGGCATAGCAATTAAGAACGACGTCCAGTAGACGATATCACCAATAAAAACGCAGATCCTTGGTTATGAAAGCATTTTATTTTGCCATTTGGCGAAGGAGTGCTTCAAATATGAGCTGGTTATTCATTTAGAGTGACCATCAGTTCCAGTGACTCAAACAACCCAAGAAAAAAAGGAAGAGTTGATGCACACCTGTCAGATAGCATTCACAACAACGAACATTTCTCTATCTAAAAATCAATTCAAGAGTCAAATTGTACCTGTACTGCTTATTGCTGAGCCGACACATTTTCTAACCCAACCAGCAGACCCACTAGGTGATATTAGATTGGACAAGACCAGAATGAAACTCAGATGTCCGATTCAACTCTCAAATCACCGATGCTTTCACGCTTTATTCTATTTGATATTTTCCCACACTTCTGGTCATTTTCTAAACTCCTCCAGAGCGTTCCAAGTACTATCTGTGTAGAACTGGAGAATATTCCGGGGTGAAATGGGATCCCATGAGAATATTAGGAGTGGACATATGATCCCTTGACGTACAAAGAATAAGATGAATAATTTTCTGGCTGAGATTGCAGACAGGGGGGGTTCGAGTCCCGCCGGGGCCGTGTGTGTGGAGTTTGTAACGGGTGTGTGTATGTGATTGTACCCTGATGGACTGGCACCCTGTCCAGGGCGTGCCCCGCCTTGTGCCCGATGCTCCCTGGGATAGGCTCCAGGTTCTCCCGCGACCCTGAAAAGGACTAAGCGGTGTAGAAGATGGATGTAATTTTGCCCTTACAGATTAACACTGAAGGGGCTAGAGGGATTGTGTTCTTGCTCCATTCTGAATGACATCCAGTAGTGCAAACACCGGGTCAGGGTAACTGTATGTGAACATCACTTTTCAACATCACTAAAAAAAAATCCACGTAGTAGACACGTTAACATGGGTTTAGCCGTATATATGGACTTTCTAGAGCTGCAATTGCTGAGGAATAATTCAAAAGTAAGAAAACAATATACGTCATATTATATCGGAAATATAGTATTTGGATAAAGTGTTATTTAAAATAAGACCAGTCAGATATGTCAGTGCGTCTAGTATACGTCTAGAATACGTCTAGTAGAAAGGTGGTTACCACCTGGTGGTCAGTCACCTTCGAAGCAATCAGGTTTCTTCCCATTTTAAAGCACTTCTTAATCGGGCGGAGACACGATGGTCAAATGGGTTCGATTTTAAGAAAGAAGAGAAGGAAAAACGAAGGACTGACAGTGTTCGTTATCATTTGGTGTTGGAAAATCCAGTATGTAGTCTACGGCGAACTACACTGACGTTCTCTCTCGATGGTTGTCTCTTCTACAGTGTACGAGGTGGTGACGGTAACGGGCGACGTGAAAGCAGCAGGAACCGATGCTAATGTCTTTGTCACCTTGTACGGAGAGTACGGCGTCACGCCGAAGGTTCTCCTCGCCAGCAAGTGAGTTCAGCATCCCTCTGAAGATTTGGAGGAGATCATCCGGAGAACGGACTCTTATCGTTTCAGATATTTCATAGGATTCTATTCTATTCTATTTGAATAGAGAATAAGCCAGAGTATCCCATGCAGGAGCTCATCAGCAGACGTTTCAGATCTGGGAAAGTGTTTTCTCTTTTCCGTGGTGAAATTCTCTGTGAAATAGGACGCGGTCCGTTGAAATGACAAGGTTTCCGTATTTAAAAACTGAGGCGGGTACTATCTATATAAATTCGGGCCTTGAGTTAAAATAGATCGATAAAAATGTGTAAACGCAAGCAGTGTATATTTTTATTTTTATTTGCTTTGCACACAGGTAATCATTCATTCAGCGTTTAAGGTGTTACCAAGGGCTGGAAATAGGAAAGCACCGCGTTTCCAGTCTAGGCAAATCGATCAATTCCCACAGAATTGAGTTTAGTTCAAAAAAACACGAGACATGTTTAGACAGCAGGTAATGCCTTGGAATGTAAACATGAACAATGGCGTGATGTTTAATTGTATAATTCTGTCTTTCTTTTTGTTTTCTCAGCACTGAAAGGAGGTATTACCTTATTTAAAAAAAAAAAAAAAAAAAAAAAAGGCCACTCAGTAACTCGTGTGGCAGTGCATTGGTCTTTGATGATTTTGATATTTGTACTTAGAGCATTCTGGGTGCTTTTATCGTGACCTTCCATCCCATTCGTACA